ATGTTATATAGTGAGGCCCTGGGCATGGATTGTAAAAGTCAGCACTATGAGGAGAGACAGAGCCAGTAGGCAGGCAGGCAGGCAGGAAGGTAGGTAGATTGGTAGATAGGTAGGTAGGTGGGTAGGTAGGTAGGTAGATAGGTAGGTAGGTAGGTAGTTAGATAGGTAGGTAGGAAGACTTATTATTATGAGGATAAATTCATGTAATTATAGAAGTTGTGACCCACTGTCTGTGATCTGCAAGCTGAAGACCCAGAAAAGCGGGTGGTGTCATTACAGCTTCAATCTAAAGGCTCAAGAACCAAGGTCATAAATCACCAACCAAAACCAGGAAAAGATGAAATGAGTTGTCCCACACTAAACAAATTGGCAGGAGGAAAGGTGATGTGAGGAAGGAAGGTCTGAAATAGCATCTGTCTCTGGCAGATTGACTTCAATTTCATCTATAATATTTTCTTTCTCAGAACAAAGATCTGCAACAAACATTATGAAATGTTCATGCTTATTAAATCAAGGCAAGGATACATGATTACTTTATTACTTTATTCTCTGATATCTCATTTTTATTAAATCACACAGATAATAAAAATAATAATAAATAGAATGCATTTAAATAGCAAGCCATAGTTCTAAAATTTCCATTTATGATTTTATTATTTTTTCCTAGTTAATTTTTTTAAAGGTGAAGGGAATTTCAAAATATTAACATGTGGGGCTGGAAAGGTGGCTCAGTGGTAGAGCGCTTGCCTTGCATGCCTGAGGCCCTGGGTTCGATTCCTCAGCACCACATAAGCAAAAAAGGAAAAAGCCGGAAGTGGTGCTGTGGCTCAAGTGGTAGAGCGCTAGCCTTGAGCTGAAGAGCTGAGGGACAGCGCCCAGACCCAGAGTTCAGGCCTCACGATCGGATAAAAAAAAAATAGTAACATGTCATCGTTAATGTATTGTATTAGTGTTTCTTATGGATGGTCTGATTTCATGTGGTTTGGATAGGGCTTTAGCACAGAGATCCTACGAATGTGTATTAATTATTCTAAAAAGAATTTTAATGGCCTACTGTGCATAAATGTTAATAGGAGTCAGGTAGATTCCCAAGCAGTCCATTTAAGGGTTGAAATTTTGGTCAGGCAAAAAAAAAGAAGCACTTCTTTTTTCCTGAATAATTCTGCTAAGCAAGTACATTGTATGTTACAGTCACTTAGAATGAAACAATATGGAAGCATTAATTTAGGATGTTTTGCTTTGCAGAGTTTTATAGCAAATTAGTAACAAATCTTTCAAATCTAAGCAATGAATTAAATTTTAGATATGTTGCTTATTAATGAAACAAGCTGCATCACCATAACCTATTATGTTCAATGTTGTGTATTAAGACAGGGTTGAGGCATGGTTGGTGTGCTCTGGATTTGGTAATTTGTTCATTGTGTAAACTAACTGGAACCATGAACCAGGACTTTAGAATTACAGGTTGGAGGATTAATATATTACTAACCATTTTGTGTCCTATGTAATATGTTATATGTAGAATATTTGTAAAATTAATTCTATCAAATGAAATGTTATCTACATTTTGGGGGATCAGCACTCAGAGCATTACACTTAGTATGCAGGCCTTCTTACCACTGAGCCATGTCTCCAGTCCTTTTGGCTCACTAATTTTTGAGTTTGGGTCTTTCTTGCTGCTCAGGCACAATTCCCCTCTGTTAGGTTTCCTAGTAGCTAAAATATAAGGTGAATACCACTGCATCCTGCTCTTAATTGAGAAGAAGTCTCACGGCTTTTCTTCCCAGTTAGCCTTTAACATCAATCCCAACACTGTTAAGTCTTCCAAGTAGATAGAAGTACAGGTGTAAAACACCTGTGCCTGGCTTGTTGTTTAACATTTTCACAAGAAAGCAATTTCCTTAGCTGGAACATCAATATTTAGGAGAGATATTTTAAGTTTCAATGTTACTTAGTGTTGCTGAGATCACTGCTCATGAAGTTCATTTATGCCTTCTATTTTATTTATTAACTATATTTATCATGTACCACTGAGTCTTAGTGATAAAATGAGAACCAAAACAATGCCACTGTCTTCAAATTGTTGATAATCTAATGGCTAAAAAAAAGATAATTATAAGACAGGAAGAGATGTTCTCCATGTGGGATGAGTGCAGGGTATTAAACATGCATGCAGGAGGGAAAAGGAACCCACTATAGAGTGGTATGGATATCATGGACGTCTTCTTGGTAGAACTTTGCAAGCTGACCCTTCATTTAGAGACTAGAGCAACAGTAGTATAAGCAGAGAGAGCAGCACATGGATAGGCCCATTGATAAGAGAAAACATATTTGAGGCCAAATATCAGATCATTTCTTTGGTTTTAAGAGTCTTTATTACATAGTAGCCTAGGCAATTCTTATATCTCTAGAAATTCCTGGTTCATATCTCCCTTTGGGTATCAATCATCTGTAAGTCCTAGATTTGATTATCAGCCCAATGCCCAGCCCCTAGACAATACCAATTAGAATTTCTAATTAAATTTCCCATATATCGGGATTTTTTAAGCTCCCAGATAATATAAATATCCACATTGAAAATTGGCTTACAAGATACATACTGATGTGTATGTTGACTTATCCAGTGTGTAAATAAGTAGTAGAGACAGAAGTGCTATTCAAGGGCACTGACTAAATGAAATGGCTATAAAGAAATGACATTGGGAATCATATCTACCAGCCATGGATTGAAGTGCAAAACCATGAGAAGAGCAACTCGGATTACAGAGCTGGCTCTGTACAGATAGATAGCACTCTGTACTCTTCTCAATTCTTTAATTCAGTCACCTCACAATGCTTAACCAGCTTTCACCACATGCCTTACGGTAGGTGCTAGGGATACATATCTGAGAATGAGTCATGATCATATAGAATACAAAACTGAAGACACATAAGATTAAGGAAAAAAGGAGAATGAACTTTGAAAAATGAGTAGGAGTTAGTAAGATGAAATGTACAGTTCATTGGGATAGAAAGACATTGAACACATTGAGAGTATAGGCTGTGAGAAGTGTGGCACCAAAAACTAGTTAGAGCCCTAAGTTGAGTTTTGAAAGGTCAAGTACACACTGTTCATTGTTGCAATTATCTACAACTTGTGTGGGCATTCTGTGTAGCCAGAAAGCTTTACACTCCCAAGTCTTCATAAGATTGAAATGACTGCAAGGTCAAAGGCAGGAATCAGAATCCAGACTTCCTGGAGTGGCTCAGAGACAGGTGGTAGGTGAGGCTCTTGGAGATGAGCAGAATGGTACTAATAGACTATTTCACTGGGTTGGCAGTTTCCAAGATGGCTTTGTGTGTGTGCTCTCCTTTATGAGTGTCATGGACTTATTGGCTATTTTCTGCTGAACAGACTAGGATAGCTAGTCTGTTGAGATTAGGATATTAAAACACATAATCTTCCACCTGTAGTTTCTCTCTCATTCTCCCCCCACCCCACAGGTAAACTCATTGTCATATTTGAGACAGCATTGTGAAAAGGCACTTGTGGTAAGGGACCAAGGCCTCCCCTTAGACCTGTTAATTAGCTTAGAGACAGGTCCTTCTCCCAGTCAGTCCTTCAGATTAGACTGCATCCCTGACTGGCAGCTTTACTGGAAACCCCAAGATAAGGACTCAAGTGGTGTTTCTTTCTGGTTATTGTTTCTAACATATTTATAAGATGATTTCTTTGTTGCTTTGTATGTCCCTCCCTCATGGTTTAACCCCTGTTTTCACTGTATTTGATGTTGGTATAAATTGGGGAGGGGAAGGGAAAAAACAAATCGTTTAAATAGGGATATAGACTGACCCATTGCAACAATGAGATGTACAAGATGTTATGTCGAAAAACGAACTTTACAACTTTGGCATGGGGGCTGGGGGGGGGAGAGGGGGAAGATGGGAAGGAATGGGAAGGGGAAACAAAGGAGGAGGCAACAATGCTTGATAAGAAATGTACTCATTACCTTGCTCGTATAATTTTAACCCCTCTGTATGGTATTTTCACAATAAAAAAAAAAGAATCTCACGTAGTACACTTTAAGTACATTAAAAAGAACCACAAGGAAAAAAAAAAGAAAACCTTGAGCTTGAAATACTGTTAAACTATGCTCTCATTCTTGACTCACAAAGACTGTGAGATAATAAATATTGCTTGTTTTAAACATTTAAGGATAATCTGTGGGGCAGGAATGAATACTCTATATTCACTCAGTGTTGCTATATTCCACATTATCTGTGAGGCCCTCATTTGCTACAAAGAACTTTTGTTATCAAGGTTGCCTTATCTTGAGAAATGAAATTTTATTTCAGCTTGAAATACACATGAAAATAAGGATAAAGAGATTCAATGGCTACTCAGATACTAGCAATTTTATGAGGCAATGGGGTCAAAATTGTTGGAAACATTAAAACCATAGTCCAGTTTTTTTTCCATCATAAAGTGACCCTCCGCTTCGTCTCTCTTTCCCCATCACCCACACAATAGTGTGCATAGGGTATTCAAGGACAAAGGCTCTCTCCAGGTAGCACCACAGAGTCTTTCGACAGACCTGTTGCCACACACAAGGCATTTTCCATTTGGCTACATTCTTTTCATTTGTATCTATTTTAGCACAATCCTAAAATTTAGGATGGTTTTGTATTTGTGCTATGCCTTTCTGGTACACTTCTTTCATTTCTACATGATCCAATTATTTTGTCCCCTTCATTTATTCACAAGAAATGTGCTGCATGGTGAGCTAAGAGCCTCACCAGTCTCATTCTGGCATAGAAACCAATTTGAGAAGCCAAAATCTACTGTGAACACCTTGTGCCAAGAAAACAAATGTGAGATTTTGATAGATTGGTTCATTTCTTTAAATATTTGGTACGATTATTGTATGAAATGCAATGCTATATTTTTAGAGTTGTAAATAATTGGTTTATTCTGTATTTTAAAAAAACTAAGTTCCTTTCTTCTTACCTTTGTAACACAGGAGAAGAAAATCTCTTGGCAATTTTACGACGAAGATGGTGGAAATATATGATCCTGGGACTCGTAGACTTGGAAGCCAATTACCTGGTGGTTAAGGCTTACCAATACACAACTCTGACCAGTATCCAGGTACTGAGGATTCTTCCTTTCTCAACTGCCTCAATTTCTACATAGTTTATTTCCAGTCTACTTACTCTTTGGAATCTGAATATTATTCTGTAAGTTTTCCAGCAAGAGGGAGACTGGTTGTCTGAAATTAACTTGGGCTTCATTTCCATGTCATTAATTTTTCTTACTTCAAGCATAATTGGAACTCTTTGTTCTGAATACACCACAATAATCATTGACAGTGCAGAAAAATAATTTGTAGTTTTGAATGCTGCAAACTAATCCTGTGTCAGCAGGAGAATTATTAGTAAGGATAAAAATAAATCTATTTTTATCACACTTGACTTTTTAGAATGTTAATAGACTTTGATTAAGTAAGCAAGCTGCTTAATAATCTTTTCTTTTGGGTCTTTTAAATATGTAGAATTTGTTTCTTGAAGGGACAGAATTTTTTCTAACGGGATAGAATGAGATTCCTAAAATATACATGAAAATAGCTATATTTCTCTTTCTTTCTATCTCCCTCTTTCTCTCATATGCTTACATATGAATGATCTGTCTCTCACTACAAGTGCTCCATAATATCTCTAGGTTTTATACACATATATACATACACTAAAATTTTTATTAATATTTTGTCACTTTTTTCCTATTACTTGGAACATTACTACATCTCCTATTCACTGAACACCTAGTCATTTCAGTGTCCTTTGTAATGTTCAGTATGCTTTGAAATATTAAGAAAACCCAACTGAAAATTGCCTTTAATGATAAAGACATAAATCGATTCCTTTATCTGAAACATTTAAATAAAGAACAGTCATAGATATTGGTCAGATGTCTTAATGATATCTGTGAAATTCTATTTCTTCTCATTTTTTCCTTATCTGTTCCTTCTGCTTGGTTTATCCGGAAGCCTCCTTTCATGGTCATAAAATGGCTGCCAGCACACACTGGAGATCCATGATTCTTCCTTTATGATTAATGAGAGACAGAAAGATCTTTTGCCCACAGCTCTTGAGCAGAAGTCCAGAGTACCATTTTGATTGGAGAATGCAGCTTTAGTCAGAGAGCAAAATGACTAGGGCAATGTTGTGAGCTAACTGGCTTAGACCTAAACTCTCTCAACCAATACAGGATAAGATTTCTCTCATTTCCTCAGAGAAATGTTTCCTGAGAGGAGTAGTACTGACATTTTTAGTAGAACAGTACCCAATCCTAAAGTCAGAATGCAATTGAGCCCACCCAATGATGTATCTATCACCCAGTGAGGATTGCATGAGGCAAAAGAACACAAGACAATCAACAGCAGTGTCCTTACACCTAGTTTAGCGCTCACCTTATCTCCATCTCCCTCTATCCTGTGTCCTATAATACATTGTTTTTAGTTCCATTTCTATAGTCTCTTATAAAAGAATGATATTTACATATTCACATCTACCCCACTAAACTGTCAGCTCTTTCACAGCAAAGATATTATCTATTTTACCTTTGGATCTCTAGTCCCCATTAGAAAACATAGCACATACTAGATTATAAATGTTTTTAAAGAGGTTAATTAAATTGAATCAACTGCCAGTATTTGGGGGCACCGGAATTCCCAGCAGTTCTCTCCCTGAATTTAGAGGTTCCTAGAATATCTCTACAGGTACAGACACACAGAAAAAGAATGTTGACTTCATTAAGAACTGGGCTTATTAGCCCAGAATAAAAAATTATATATGGACTCAGGGGGAAATAAGATTTAATTTCCCTCTCTGGAAATATATTTGAGGGACTTATTAATTTCTTTCTTTTTTTCTATTTTGTATTGGAAAATCACAACTAGTTGTTGGTTTCTTAACTTCATTTTTGTTTTCCAAAATATTTTCATGAGTTTTTTTTATCCTCTGAGCCTCATTAATTTGACTTACATTATAAAGCATTATAGCTACCTTTCTCAAATTAGCTTTGTGATACCAGTTTAATGCCACATTTTAGGGGGAAAAAGTTTAATTGTATCATAAGAAAATAAAAATTCTGGCAAAATAGCAGTTGGCTTTCATTGCAATTTACTGAGCAAAGAAGAAGGGTAGGTAAAAACAGTAACAAAAACAAGTCAAATCTAGTAGTTTCAAAATCATTTTTGCTACTTACAAGTACACCTACTGCCTACTAAAAAATAATAAATGCACAGAAGGTGTTTGCTCTGGAAATATCATCAGCATTATTGGTAAGAAATTTGATTCTGTTTACCCATTGCAAATTGGTAAAACTAACAAGGTCTTATAATAATGATTTTTGTTGTTTCTATAACTATTCATTGAGCATATTATATGCCTGATTCCTATTAATCCATAAATAAAATACTAAGCATTTAAGAAATGTACTAGTTAGTACAGATGATGTCATGCACAATGAACTAGCCCTGACCCTCCAGGATTTACAAACAAGCAACAGGAAGAAGAGGCACACTTTAATGGTGGTAGCATCAAATAGAACAAAAAAAAACAGATGTCCAAGTGCTACAATTTTCAAAAGAGACAGATGATGGTTATTCTCAAAGTCAAGCAAGCATCCATTCTAATGGGTCTGTGAGATTGAATAAAATGTCTCTGGACCAAATGTCTGCATAACCTTTCACCAGGAACATGACAGAAGCTTGGGAGAGCAAACCCAAGGACTATTTTTAAGAACTATCATTTCTATTTGATTCATATAATCACTTAAAACAATTACTGAATTCTTTTGTGTTCAAGGGGAGGGCTGGGAAGGTGGCTCAGTGGTACAGCGCTTGCCTTGCATGCTTGAGGCCCTGGGTTCAATTCCTCAGCACCACATAAGCAAAAAGAAAAAAGCCAGAAGTGGCACTGTGGCTCAAGTGGTAGAACACTAGCCTTGAGCTGAAGAGCTGAGGGACAGCGCCCAGGCCCCAAAAAAATCATCTTCGATAGGTGGATGCAAGTGGTTCATGCCTAGTCCTAGCTACTCGGGAGAGGCTAAGGTCTGAAATTCTAGATTTGAAGCCAGCCTGGACAGGAAAGTCTGTAGCACTCATAAAATGCCAGAAGTAAACCTTTGGCTCAAGTTGTAGAGTCTAGCCTTTAAGGACAGCTCCCTAGGCCCTGAGTTCAAGCTCCAGGACCAGCACACCCTCCACTCCTACGCCCACCGCACACAATCACCATTGATGCATGAGGTTTGAGAGGAAAAGTGAGACACTTTTTTTTTTTTTGGGTCCGCTCGTGGGGCCTGAACTCTGGGCCTGGGCGCTGTCCCTCAGCTCTTCAGCTGCTAGCACTCTAGCACTTGAGCCACATCGCCACTTCTGGCTTTTTTCTAATGTGGTGCTGAGGAATCAAACCCAGGGCCTCGAGCATGCAAGGCAAGTGCTCTACCACTGAGCCACCTTCCCAGCGAAAAGTGTATTTTGAAATTATTATAAACTTATAGGAAATTTCAAAAAAACATATAGGATTCTTTGGACCCTTACATAGCTTTTCCCAACAGTGGCATATTCTTTTGAGTATTATGTCAAATCTAGAATATTGATATTATACAAAGTCATTAACAAACTATAGACCTTAGTAAGTTTTCATCTTTTTTTAAACCACCACCTCTGTATGTGTGTTGATGCAGTTTGATCTTATCTATAGGCTCATGTACCACAATCAGAATTGTCTTATTATTATAAAAGAACTCCTTCCTGCTACCTCAGTGTGAAGTCACAGTCTTACCCTGTCTCTGTCAGTTGACAACCTCTAGTCTGTTCTCCAACTATACTATACTATATAGAATCACATAGTACTTAACCTTTTGAGATTGGCTCTTTTTTGTGGTAAAAATAGTCTCCCTAAGTCCATCTAAACAGCTGTACGTTTATTAGTTTGCTCCTTTTCCGTGTTATGTAGTATACTTTGGTATGGATACACTAGAATCTGCTTAATCTTTCACCTGTTGAGGATATATGGATTGTTTGCAGCTTTCGGCTTTTACAAAAGAAGCTGCAATAAATATTTATGTGCAATGCATCAACCAAAGTGTTCATTTCTCTGGGATAAATGCTCCAAAGTTCAATTGCTAGGTTATGTGGTAGGTACATATTTAAATTTAGCAATTGTCAGACTAATTTCCAGTGTGGTTGTATTATTTTTACATTCTTACCAGTAGTTTAGTTATTCCTTAATGTCCACGATATTTGGAGTTATACTTTTATTTCAGCCATTTTAAAGGTCATGTAGTAATATTGTGTTACATACAATGTGAATTTCTCTAATAATCAATAATGTTGAACTTTGAGGAGAGATTTAAACTTTGACTTTATAATCAGAAGCTAGAGGAAGTTAACAGTGACAAAAAAAGGTACCTTCTATGTAGGAAAAACTAAAGATGATAAAATAGAGGCACTGAAGAAATCCAGCTGTTTTCTTTTATCAGAAAGTAAAAAAGAGAGAAACGCCTTCATGTTGGATTTATAAGGATTTTATTCTAAAGACACATTTGTGGGTTTTTATCTCTTGACTTGCAAAGAATGAATAGGTTGTGGCTGTGTGACTTTGAGACAGATTAGTGATGACATTTGGATACATTTAAACAGCAAGGCTATTTTTATAACTGTGCTATATGAACCATTTCAGTAGAAATACTGTCTTTATGACTTTTTGCCCAAAGATGAATCATCTTTTTTCAGCCATGCAGTCCTGAAATGTGAACAGATGAGGCCAGTGTGTTGCTGTGAAATAAGAAAGCAGGTCTCTTCAAACATGAGTGCTTAGTAATTAAAACTCACACTGAAATTGTTTTCCAGTACTCTTGCTAACTACCCTCAGGGATCTGTACCTCTGACACTAAATCCCTGTCACACAGTACGTATTTCAGAACTTTGTACATTCTTTAAACAACTTCTATTAGGCCTAAAGAACAAGAGAGTGATCTCTTCAGTCCTGATTGTTTTCCTTTCTGCTTCTCTCCTCTCTGACTTGTGCATATTGGAACAAGTACTAGCCACTCCAATATGCAGTGTGATCCCCACCCTGAGACTA